GGGCCCCACCTTCTTAGAAGCTCATTGGGAGAAGAGAATGACATTGCCTTTATTCTAACCAAGCAAGTCCAGTTTTGGACGGAAGTGGGGAAATGCATCTTTGTGGGGAAGCTTCAGCATGGACAGGAAAGGAAAAGCATTTCTGTGTGGAAAATGGAGGTGCTCCTTTGAATTTCCAGACCCATTTCACTCTCCTGATACAGAAGAGCTAGGGGAAGACTCAGTAATGGGCAAATGGCGCCTTTTGCCTATTTATTTCCCTGTGCTATGATCACTGTCCCTTGGGCCCAGTTTTGCCTTGCCATTTTCTATGATTTTTGTTACCGATTAGCACAGATGGGATACTATTCATTTTACAGATATGGAAAATGAGTTCCAGAAAGGTTAAGACTTAAGGACCTGAGCCATAGTACTGGTGCAGGTAGGAAATGACAACACTGGGATCCAAACCCAGATCCTCTGATTCCAAATTGAGTGCTTTTTTCACTGTACCACTACGTTACTGTATATCTGTAAAGGATGGTTAAAAATATATTACAAATGTTTCTACTTTTTCTTTCCTCCACCCAAAATATTTTCCCCCACCAATGCTTCAAAGTTTCCAGAAATTTTATAACTTTATGTAGGACTACCCTAACTTAATGCTCTTGGAAGTAGAAGGTGTAGAAAATGAGAAGGAAACTGCTGAGAGACAGAGAGAGGAGAGGAGGAGAGGAGGAGAGAGGGAGAGAGGGAGAGAGGGAGAAAGGGAGAGAGAGAGAGAGAGCGCAAAGGAAATGCAATCTGGGTGATCTGGTATTTCCAGTGATGTCATAGAGCCTCTCAACTCTCAAAGCACTTTGACCGTACCTGTCTTAAACATATGTCATATTCTATTTTGTGTTATAGTCACTTATAATATAACTCCAATCTCCCTTCCAAGTCCATCAGTTCCCTGAGGGGGTGATGTCTTATTTGGTTTTGGTCTCCTCGGTGCCTCAAATCATACCTTGTGAAGGAGAGATATTTAATACATTTTGAATGAATGAATTCCCAAAAGGAAGGGGAAAGAGGTGTCTAGGAAAGGAGGCCAAGTACCCAATCACAGAATAAACCTTAGTAATCCACTAGTCCAACCTCCTTCATGATCTACATTAATAAACTTAGGCCCAGAGAGTAAAGTGCCTTGCTTGAGGTCACATAACTCCTCAGTGGCAGAGTTGAGTTTAAACTATAGTTTCCCTACTCCTACATATCAGCGGCCTTTCCTCTAACACCACATTCTCTTCCCCAAGTAGACAAGATATGCCATATTACCTCTCCCTGCTGGGCCAATTAGGTGTGAGAAGTTTTGAAAAACTAAAATACCAAGTACTTCTCTCTTCCTCATCAAAGCCAACAGTTGACCTTCCCCATCGCTTTACCCATGACCATATAAGAAACAAGATCTGGCCCCAGTTCTACCTCACTTCTCAGGTCTTACAGTCTTCTCCTGTTGCTGTAGAAAGAAGTGCCAATATCACTGCCTGATGTGGATCACCTGCCATTTGGTTTGGCAGAAGAAATCCAATGCCCAGGAGGTGGGAACCACCGCCCATCCATCTTCCAGCTTCACCTCCAAGGAATAGGCTGAAACCAGAGTTGGCAATCCCCCCATCAATAGCTTGATCTTACTTTCTGCCCAATCCCTGAGGAATCCTGCCAACTGGTATCCCAAGTACAGCTGGTAGTGCTCATCAAGGCCAAGTAGGCAGTTTTTTTCAGTCCCACTGGGACATCCACTCTACTGCAATTTGGGCTGCAATCCAAAGGGGGCCGTTCTCTGGAATCCCCTGACAATCTAGACTAGGGCAGCCATTTGTCCAATCTTCTTCCACTCCTTTGATCATTTTCTTCTGTTCTTTAATATCTCTCCTCCTCTACAAGCAAGAAGCACATTGCCTCATTCCCAAGGCTTTCCAGCCCTCTGCCCACTCCTACATTTTTGTATCACAGCATCTCACCCTGCCCACCCAACAATGATCCTTCTCCTATGCTTCTCGACCATTTATTTATGAGAAGACTTTTTAAGGCATCTCAAAAAGGAGAAGGGACTCCCCATTTTCTACATAATTTTCAAGCTTAGTACCCTTCAAAGGTTATTTAAAACATTCCTCAACCTGGAAGCACTAAAACCATTTCAAACAAATGACCATCTAGCTTATTTTTTTTAAATCTAGACTATTCCTATCAGAGCTCTGCAGCACCACTTCTATACACTAGCCTGTTTCACTGTCACACCTTCCTTCCAGAGAAGATGGTCCCTTCCTAAGATCTACCTGAATCCCTCCAGTTTCAATATAAATCCATCTTCTCTTTCTTTATCCCAAACCAAACTACATCTGTTAATTCTCAAAAACCCAACACTTCTTTGTCCCACCCAAGTTGGACAGATAGTTTGAGGACAGACCCAGAGTATTTCTTACATATTGTATAGTGACCAACAGAACAGAAATTTTCTGAAGACTCTCCTGACTCTACCTTTAGCTACAAAATGCATTTTACTTTCTTGTAGATAACAACGGGGTAGGAAAGGGAAAAAAACACAACCAAGTAGGTGAACGTGAAGGAGTAATCAGGCCACCATGGGTTAATGACAGCAACAGAAAAATAAAGCAGGAGGTCATCCCAAAACCCAGAGAGGTCTTGGGGGCATGCAGAGCTGGGAAAGCAAGCCAGTGAGAGGGGACCTCGGCACTGTCTCACCTTCCGCTTGTCCAATGGGGGTAACGCAACCCCATTGGAACGGTTAAGGTCGGACACCAGCACCTTCAGAATGTCCTGAATCTACAAGAGGCGAAAAGGGAGAAACAAAAAGGGAGGAAGAGAGAAAGAGAGGTGGCTTAGAGGGAGGAGATAGAGTTGGGAAGGGTGGAAGGGATGGGCTTGAGGAAATGGGGGTGAGGATGGGAATTGAAGGTGGCTAGGGTGAGGACCCAATCCATAAACAGGGGCTGGGAATAGCCTTCCTAACATCCATTTTTGGCTTTGCCATGAGCAGATGTTTAATATAATCCAGCTGAGTTGGAGAGAAGTTCACAGAATCACAAAGTCCTAAAACAATGAAGCTAGAAGTGCCATCTAAGATTACCTAGTATATCTCTTTTACTTCCTTTAAGCTGAGGATCAGAGGAGTGAAGTGACTTACACAAGTCATACAGTGAGTAGCAGAAATGGGACAAGAACCTAGATTTCTTGATTTCCAATTTCCAGGTCTTTCTATTATATGACTTCACCCCCACCATGACTTTGCTAGTATCTCTTAGAGGGAAAGGCAGGTGGCTTGGTGCCGTTTTCATTTGTAAGGCTTCTTCTGGGGATGGGGAAAAACTGTCCGCTGAGTCAGGTCATCAGCTCAAACATCACCCCTTTTCTCCATCTTTCCAAGGGAGTGTTTCTAGTTAAGACTCACATCCTCAGGAGAGTGTCGCCCACCAGACGGAGGAGTCTCAGGGTTATTGCCATCTTTTGTTTTCCTTTTCTTCTTGGCTCCTGCTGGGGCACTGGGGCTGGTCTTCTGTTGATACTCCTTCAACTACGGAAAGGAAAAGGTTAGGGTTGGAAATGGTAAGGTTCACGATCCAGGGTCCAGGACATTATTTCCCCAAGGAAGTACAAATTATACGATAAGGTAGGCTCATGAAGAAAGCATGTTGTGGCTAGGAGGTCAAACAACTAGGTTTGGATTCCAACTTTGCCCAAAGGCTCTCTAGGTGCTGAGAAATGATTCACAGTTCTGACACTCAGTTTCCTTAATAAGTCATACTTCCGTGGTGCTTTAAGGTTTACAAAGCATATTCCTCAGAATTAGTTGGTAAAAGAAGGGGAAATGACTTGACCAGATAATTAAGTGTAAGAGCCTGGACTCAATCTCAGGTGTTCTAACTCTAAGTCTTTTGCTACCCCGCAAAAGTAACTTCTCTCCCAACCCTTACAGATTTCCCCCCATTTTAAGTTCTCTCCCTTCCTCTGATAAATGAGCATATCTTATCCCAGGGGGCAATGAGTGAAAAGTATTTGGGTTCCAGGAATTTAGTTAATAAGAACGTGTGGTGGAAAGGTGAAAGAAAAAACCATGGACCTTTCAAAAGAGCTGGAATCTGGGCAGAAACAATCCTCTCATTCACCTTTCAAACATGTTTTGAATCTTTGAGAGCATAAGAATCAAGGAACTGGATAAATTTAGGATATTACTAGTCATCAGCAGCAGCAACAGCATCAATGTTAGGTCTCTGAATTTGCACAGTGATGAAGTCATTCCAGGTCTTTGGGCCTCCTTCAAAGTGTTCCCAAGGGACTTAAGAATTTCCCCAGAGGTGGTAATTTAAAAAATCCTGTCCATTTCCCAGGCCAGAAGGCTATAATGACAACTTGGAAAGGGAATGGTTACCTAACTTCATTCCAAATCCTCCCCACATGGGTTACTCTGAGAGAAACAATGATCTACTCCCCTCCATAATATTACTCTATGTGGTCCTTCCACACATACCTTCCCCCACTCCACTTCCAACTCCCACCATCCCTAACTCTGGAACCCCAGGTCTGGGTCTGAGGCAAAGGGGAGTCCAATGCGGAGGGTTGGGAAGGGTGTAGAGCAGGCTGGAAGAGGTTTGGGAAGGGCCCGGAGGGAGGAAGTCCAGGACGGCATCGGATTCCCACAGAGCGGGCGGGGCAAGCCTAACAGCTGGCTTGCCCAAGCCTTCACCTTGGGGTCCCTCCTAGGGAATCGGGGTTTTCGCGGGGAGTGGAGGCTGGGGGCTCCAGGGGCGGTGGGGCGAGGAGGGGGGTATATCCCTCCAGGCACCAGCTGTGTGGGGCGGGCGGGGGGAGAGGCCTTTCCGGGAGGCCAACAGCTGGGCCTGACGTCACGGGCCCGGGGAGAGGGTGTCACGGGCCCAAAGTCACCAAGGGGGCGGCGGGGGAGGGGCGTGGGGCGCCAGAGATTTGCGGAAGTCTTTGGGGGGGGTTCGGGCTCGAGACCTGTGGGGTTCAGGAACTGGGACCTGCAGGACTAGGGACGAAGACCCTGAGGGGATCGAGGAGGGAGAGTGAGAGGGGCCTCAGAGACCGGCGGGGGAGACCCGAGGAGAATCAGGAGGGTGATCTGAAGGGATCCGGAAGGGGATCTGTAGGGATCTGAGAGAACCAAAGAAAGGCTGGATCTGTGAGGGGGTCTGTCAGGGTCCAGGCGGCGGGAAGGGAAGGGGCGGAGCCGAGCCCGCGAGTGTAGGGGCGCCTCAAGAGCGTTTACCTTCTTTTTGGCCGCGGCCAATTTGCTCTGCCGGGTCTCGTCCGCCATCCCGGGCCGGGGAGGGGAAAGGCGGGGGGAGAGGGGGGGGCCACATCACCGTGATCCCGGCAACCACCGCGGCATTCCATCCAGCAGCCACCGCGCCGCGCCCTCTCCTCCCATAGGGAGGGCGAAGGGCGGGGTCGGACAGCTCCGCGCTTCCTAGCGCCTGCGCCGTTCCCAACCACTCGCGCGTGCGCTCGCGTCCCCCGCCCCGACTCGCTACTTAGCTTCAGTCTTTCCTGTCTTCTCGCAGTCACATATCGACTGGCGCGCATTTTCTGTGTTCTCCCTTGAGAGTGCGCTCTTCCTGGTCTGGGAGCGATCCTAGGTCCCGCCACCGCTCCACTCCCCCGGCAGCCATGGAGCCCCGCGCGCTGCAGAGACCCTCGGGAGGGGAGCCCGGGACCCCGGGCCTCCGGAGGTGCGGAGGGGACGAGACTCCTCATAGACCTCTCCCCAAAGATTCGACACCCTCAGCCCCTTCAGATCCCCTCAAAACTTAGCGCCTAGCACAGTGCCTGGCTCACAGTGGGCGCTTAATAAATACTTGTTCTCCCCCGCCCCATTCTGAGCACCATCAGAGACCTCATTCCTTCTAAATGGAAGACCTCCTCCCCAAAGATCCTACCCGCTTCAGAAACCCGTCTCAAGATAAAGACTCCTCCTTTAAAAGAGACTGGCCTTCAGTGAACCCCATCAGAGACCTCATCCGCTTTAAAGAAACCAACCCAAAGTTCCAACTCCTTCCATTGACACCTCTTTCCCCAGAGCCCCTCAGCTTCTTTGAGACACTCCTTATGGACCCTCTACCCTTTAGAGTTTACAGGTCCTTAATCTCTATCCCTTCCCAAATGCCGTGGCCTGAACGACCTGATCCAGTTTCCCTTTCCCACCCGTCCTCACTCCAGAGGGTCCCCTAACTCTCAGGTAACCTTGTAGGGTTCTCCCCTCTTCCCACAATCCCTGGGTCTCTAACCATCCCTTTTACTTGGTTGCTTTCCAGGGCACGACTGGGACTCCCCAAACGCCATTCGGCAGCATTTCGATCCCCTGTGAGTATGTCTGCAAGCTCGCATGCTTCTTCCAAGGACTCCTTCCCTCCTTCCTCCCTGTGCCATCTCAATTTTCCCTCCTGCCACACAGGCCGTGTATCTTTCCCCAATCTCTCTGGGCCTGCTCAGTTATAGCACAGCAATCCTTTTCTTGTTCTCTTTGATTCCATAGCAGACGTTTTCACAGCATTTTTTCCAAACCTTTCCTTCCATTTCCTTTCCTCATGCCTCCAATGTTTCCTTCAACCTTCACTAGATTTATGCTGCCATAATAGGTATTTAATAAATGTTTGATGAATTGAATGACTTACCTGCCTCCTTGACTAAGGTGATGCAGGACATTGCTATTTCATCCAACTCCCTCCACCTCAAAATATTTCTGCCTGTAAGTATGTTTTCTCATCTTCACCAGACTTAGATGAAGTCCTGCCCAAAGCTAATCTCCCCTGTGTCTTTCTTCTGCTTTCTTTAGGACCTGGCTCCATAATTTCTCTCAACAATCTTTTCCTGCCAACTGGTTGCTCCCACTCTACCTTTAAACACAGGGATCTCCCCAAAAAACTTTGTTTGATACTACTGCCGCTACTAGTTAACATCCTATTTCTCCCTTCCACTTCTTTGCCAAACCTACCTGCTGCCTTCTTTACCCACCTGCTCGTTAACCCTTGGCAGTCTTATTTCTGCCCTTTCCACTCTACCCAAACTCTTCAGAGATCTCCAGTGACCTTTTAATTGGCAAACCCAATGGCCTTTTTTTTTCATCCTTCATTCTCCTTTACCTCCTTGCAGAAAGTGATACCGTTCTCTACTGCCTACTTCTTGAAATCCTCTCTTCCCTGTTCATGAGTCAATACTATTCTGCTTTTGCAACTCCTTGACTGTTCATTCCTCTAGCTCATTTTCCTCAGTTCCCTGTTCTTCTCTTTCTCTTTCTCTACTTGACAACTTACTCTATGGTTTTCAATTGTCATTTCTTTTGACGTTTGGTCAATACTTCTGTTCAATGACTTCCAAATCCATATCTCTCATTCTGACGTTTCAGATGAGTTTTACATTTCCAACTGCCTCCTGGATATTTTTCCATCTCGATGTCTTGCTTTCATCTCACTAGATGGACTCTGTGCATCTAAAATGATCTCATCAGTATCTCCTTGTCAAACTTGCCCCTTCCTCCTGACTTAACTAAAAAAAAAAGTCATCTGTGATCTTTCTCTCTCCCTCACCCCCATGTTTATCAGATCCTGTATGTTCTTCTTTGTAATGTCTTTCCCGCCTGTAACATTTCATTTCCATGGACACAACCCCAGTTCAAGTCCTTGCCACTTCATTCATGAACTATTGGCCTCCTCACTCTTACCATTACCAGTCTTGCCTCTAACCCACCATTCACACTACCATTTCCAGGTTCATTTTGCCAAAACACATCATATTACCCTCTAGCTCAAAAACCTCTAGTAATGCCTAAATAGCTGAAAGATTAGTTTGATACTTCTGAACCAGATATATGACTTTATACAATCTGACCTTGTTCTACCTTCTGTCTTTATTTCTAAATACTTCTTTTACTCCAGTCATACTGGTCTCATCATCCTCACAAAATTCCAAATTCATTTCTACCTCTGTGGCTGTATTCATACCAGCCTGGGATGCTCCCTCCTTTCTTTCTATCTGAATCCTACTCATTTTTCTTTTAAAAAAAAATTATGTAATCCCTGACTTTGATGTAATTTCAATACACGTTAGATTAGGGTCATTTTGATGTTTTTGTTGATGCATTTTTAAAAAATCAAAATCATGGTGGCTAACATTTACCAGCCGCAGGTTGGCATATCCTTATATCCCATGGTTTATCCCCAGGGATGCTCTCCATGTGTACCTTCACAATGAAAAACTCTGATATTCCTTCCATCATAACCTATCATTCCATTTCTCCCTATGTCTTACTCCTCCTAAACCTATTCTTCACCTCATAATGACCTCTAGTCCATCCACCCTTCATTACTTTCTCAACTTTGATCTTATAATTAACTAGGTTGACTCCATTTTGCCCTCCAGTTTTGATTCCTTATTCCCTTGTCTGTTGACAATCATGGTTTACCCAAAATTAACCATTACTCCCACCACCTGCCTCTTAGGCTCCTACTTGTGCTGCTGAACAAAGCTGGAGAATATCATGCAACCAGGCTGACTGTATGCATTACTAATTTATATTATCTAACCTTACTGGGGCACTCCCTGTAGCAAAGCAGTCCTTTTTCTCCTCCCTAATTGATGCTCTATCCCACTTTGCACAGAGGCTGTTTCATATTTTATCTTCTCTCCTCAAACTTCCCATCCCTCCCCCTCTTTCCCACCTCTCAGTGAAGGATCTCAACTATTTTTTCATACAGTTTTAATATTTTTATTTTTTAATTACATTTTATGTTGAATGTTGGAGGGGATGTGAGAAAACTGGGATACTAATGCACTAGTGGTGGAGTTGTGAACTGATCCAACCATTCTGCAGAGCAATTTGAAACTATGCTCAAAAGGGTATAAAACTGTGTATACCCTTTGATCCTGCAATACTATTACTAGGTCTATATCCTAACGACATCCAAAAAAAGGGAAAAGGACCTATTTGCATAAAAATATTTATAGCAGCTCTTTTTGTGGTTGCTAAGAATTGGAAATTAAAGTGATGCCTATCAACTGGGCAATGGCTAAACAAGCTGTGGTATATGATTGTAATGGAATATTATTGTGCTATAAGAAATGACAAGCAGGAAGATTTCAGAAAAACCTGGAAAGACTTATATGAACTGATGCAGAATGAAGTGAGCAGAAGCAGAACATTGTACACAGTAACAGCAATATTGTTTGATGAAGAACTGTGAATGACTTAGCTACTCTCAGCAATACATTGATCCAAGACAATCCTGAAGGACTCATGATGAAACATGCTATTCACCTCCAGAGAAAGAACTGATATTGTTTGAATACAGACTGAAGCACGCTATTTTTCACTTTCTTTCGTTTTATTCAAGTCTTCTTGTACAAAATGACTAATATGGAAATGTTTTACATAATTGCACATGTATAGCTTATATGTGATTGCTTAGCATATCAGGGAGGGATAGAGTGTGGAACTCAAAACTTCAAAAAAAATGTTAAAAAATTGGAAAATAAAATAAAATTATATTTTATTTTAACATTCATCTTTTAAAATTTTGAGTTCCCAGTTCTCTCCTTCCCTCCAACCTCCATTGAGAAGGCAAGCAATATTATATTAATTATACACATGAATTCATGTCAAACATTTTCTTTTTTTTACTTTTTTCTTTTTTTAAATTCTTTTTTTTATTTTTAGTTTTCAACATTTACTTCCACAAGATTTTGAGTTCCAAACTTTCACCCCAACTCGCCCCTCACCCCCACCCCAAGATGGTATGCATTCTGAATACCCCTTTCCCTAGTCTGCTTTCCCTGCTATCTCTACCCCCTTCCCCTTCTATTTTCCTGTAGGGCAGGATAGATTTCTGTACCCCATTTCCTGTATTTCTTATTTCCCAGTTGCATGTGAAAACAATTTTTTTTTAAACATGTGTTTTTAAAACTTTAGGTTCCAAATTTTCTCCCTTCCTCCCTCCCCACCTACCCTCATTGAAAAGGCAAGCAACTCAATATAGGCTATACATGTGCAGTTATGCAAAACACTTCCATAGTAGACATGCTGTGAAAAACTAACTCTATTTCCCTTAATCCTATCCCGCCTCCCCCCCATTTATTCTATTCTTTTGACCCTGTCCCTCCTCAGAAGTATTTGCTTCTGATTACCCCCTTTCCCAATCTGCCTTCCTCTCTATCATCCCCCTACTCTCTTGTCCCCTTCCCCTCCTATTTTCCTGTAGGGTAAGACAGATTTCCATACCCAATTGAGTGTGCATGTTATTCCATCCTTAAGTCAAATCCTATGAGAATAAGATTCACTCGTTCCCTCTCATCTTCCCCCATTTCCTCTCCACTGCAAGAGCCTTTTCTTTTCTGTTTTTTTTTTGTGAGATAATTTACCCCATTCTACCTCTCCCTTTCTCCTTCTCCTAGTATAATCCTCTCTTACCCCTTAATTTTATTCTCCAGATATGACCCCTTTATCTTCAACTCACCCTGTGTCCTCTATCTATCTATCTATATCTCTATATACATACATATAATTTTTTCCCTCCAACTACCCTAATACTGACAAAGGTCTCATGAGTTACAAATATCATTTTTCCATGCAGGAATGTAAACGTTCAACCTTAATAAGTCTCTTATGATTTCTCTTTCCTGTTTACCTCTTCATGTTCCCCTTGAGTCTTGTATTGGAAAGTCAAATTTTCTATTCAGCTCTGGTCTTTTTATCAAGAATGCTTGAAAGTCCTCTATTTCACTGAATGACCATTTTTTCCCCTGAAGAATTATACTTAGTTTTGCTGGGTAGGTGATTCTTGGTTGTAATCCTATCTCCTTTGCCCTCCAGAATATTATATTCCATGCCCTGTGGTCCCTTAATGTAGAAGCAGCTAAATCTTGTGTTATCCTGATTGTGTTTCCACAATACTTAAATTGTTTCTTTCTGGCTGCTTGTAATATTTTCTCCTTGACCTGGGAACTCTGGAATTTGGCTACAATATTCCTAGGAGTTTTCCTTTGGGGATCTCTTTGAGGAGGAGATCAGTGGATTCTTTCAATTTCTATTTTGCCCTCTGGTTCTAAAATATCAGGGCAGTTTTCCTTGATCATTTCTTGAAAGATGATGTCTAGACTCTTTTTTTGATCATGGCTTTCAGACAGTCCAATAATTTTTAAATTCTCTCCTGGATCTATTTTCCAGGTTGGTTGTTTTTCCAATGAGATATTTCACATTATTTTCTAATTTTTCATTCTTTTGGATTTGTTTTACAGCGTCTTAATTTCTCATAAAGTCACTAGCTTCCAATTCCTCTATTCTAATTTTTAAGGAAGTATTTTCTTCAGTA